GCTGTCTCTAACAGAATCACCTTCCATGACCTTCTCTGATCATGTAGATTGGTGCGAATCCGGCCACATTGAATTATTTCTTTGTGCCTTTGGTCTCCCGCAAGCATACTACATCCGAGTTGTAAGCAATTATTGTTTTGCTTACTTCCCCTCCTGCATTCTTATTGGTGCAGAATATTTGAAGCAGCAAAAGATACATGTCATTGTATTAATCGATAAAGTAACTTCCCTCTCGGGAATCGAACACAAGTCTCAGTGGGTGGCTGGCAGATGCTCTGGTGCAGTTTGCTTCTTTTTCCCTATCAGACAGCTATATTTCTGTCATCCTTCTCTCCTTCATTTTTTGTGCTTGTTACTCTCATGTGTAAAGCCTCTAACCTTCGGTACTTATGTGACCTTTTTGTGCTTCATATGCTATTAAACTCTTACTAAAACAGAACTCAAGAGCCGGACCATTACACAAACATTGATATCAATCAGATCCCGTTTACTTCTATATAGAATCATGGGATGTCGTGGTGAGTTCAATTTTATCATTTTGCGTGTGTGTGTGTGTGTGTGTGTGTGTGTGTGTGTGTGTGTGTGTGTGTGCGTGTGTGTGTGTGTTGTGTGCGTGCGTGTTTGTGTGTATGTGTTTGTCAGGCGCGGTTCGTCCATAAAGCACGTCGTGCAGTGCCGCCCAATATGTTTTAATGTTCTAAGACGTAAAGCACCCTCAATAATAAAATAAAAGACGCCAGAAACAAACATTAGCCAAATATTATATCAGAACAAGGCCCTCGCTCGCGCCGTAACTGTCATTTCTATTCTATAGCGCCGTAAAAATCTACTATGCCATGCCTAAGTTCATGCGCTGTATCTAAACATAACAGGATAGTCAACAGTGGAAACTTGACCTATAACCCAAGCGATGACGACACTTGCAGAGAGTTTGACGGTACATTAATATTAATAAGACGGCACATCTCAAATGTGCTCCGGCCGAATAGCGCCGAAATATAGCCCACAGTAGGCAATCTAAAAATAAACGCCATAGACTATGCACTATTCCATGCCAAAATTATGTGGGCCCCGGAGCAATCCAGAGGAGTGCTCAAGTGAATTGTGATTGGTTCATTGTCTTGTCGCTATTTTAAGTAGCTCTGTGACCGTGAACCTGAGGGAGGTGAACGTGACATACTTAAGTCGCCGTCCTATGAGTTGTGCTTTTGATCGATTTTGTAGTGGAGTGGTGAAAGGTATTACTTGAGTGTTCAGTTCTAATGCAGGATGAATGAAACTTGGATCAAATTTTTAGCTTGCACCAAATTGGTGCTGCAAAGAGGAGTTTCACGCACCTTTCTTCTTGTGCGGGAAGAACGATGCCTAGATTTCTCTACAGTGACAAAAATAACTTTGGTGCAAAGATTTTGCTTGCTCCCAGCAGACACGACCGCAAGCGGTGCGACGAGCATAAACCCTCCTCGCCGTCCGTCTCTTCACTGGCGCGCGCGCAGCCAGCGGGTGATGGATCGCAAGGATGTAGGCTAGGCTTAGTAGCCTACTTGTAGGCCTATGTAGATCCAGAGCACTGACTGCACTGACTGACTGGTTTAGGGTAATTAGAAGGGGGGGGGGGGGTGAAGGAAGGCCAGGGTTAGGTGGAGCGCTTGCACCAATGGTGCCCCGCCACTGGGGGGCTACTAGAATTATTTGTAGCGCGCTTCTTTTCTATCAGCTTCATAATGATGGTGGTGTGAAACGAACCATTCCAGCTCTCTCTATACTGCATTAGGTATGGATGGGCCTGTAAGATTCAGGTTTCAAGGAGAGGTCGAGTGGGTATAGTATAAGTATAAGGCAGGAGACAAGGTAGTAGGGTTTACGGTTCTCTACACATTCTGGAATAAGGCTTGTGTCATCCCCACTATCCGGGGCAACGAGGGTCCAAAGAGCGCTGTCTTGAATTGCTGGTTGGCATATCTACAATGGCCTTCTCATTCACCTCGGCCATGTCTCTGTCGTATTCTATGTAGCTGTGGCCTTTCACTGGAAACGAGATTTTCACCTTTTTGTACCTTTCCCGAAGAACAACAACATGATAGAGAAACCAGACCACCCTTCAGTTTTTGTTTTGGCCTGCGCACAAGTCACGTCAGCTGGCAGAATGTGTAGAAAGTAATGTAGCAGTAGCAGCATGCTGGCTACATCGCCTCTGCCCTTTTTGCTGACTGTCTCGTAACAGCTGTTTGTTTCAGTAAAGTGTTTTACGGCGCTCGCAACTGCATAAGGTCATATGAGCGCGCGGGACACACCTAATATTTTTTCAGTTGGTAGGAAATTTTGAATTTTGCCCGGGTGGCGGCCGAAGCCTACTCTTATCGATTTTAGACCACCAAGGGATCTTTAGCGTGCGCAACTTGCACACGGGCCCTTCGAGATTTTTCGTCCTTGTCCGAGAAGGCTAGGTGTAGATCTTTTCCTACCAGAAGATCAGGGGTGTTGCAGAAAGACAGCAGTAAGGAGGAGCCAAGGAGTAACAGCGACGGTGTGTAGTTTCATCACTTAAGAGTTCAGAGAGTAGACTTTAAATGAGAAGAGAGATACTGGCCAACGGTCGCACAATTCGTTTGATGAGAAGTTTGGGTAGCCCAAGTTCTTCGAAAAATCAAAGATTAGCGCAAGGTGAATGCTCTATGAACGATTTTCCCGTTTAGCAGCACATGTAAAAAGTATGCGGGGGGGTTGTTGGCTCAACAGTCTCAACTTGTTGAGCCTCAGCTCGGTCCGACGTTGTGTCCTTCGGAAAGGCACTTTACATATTGAAAGTCCTACATTTAGCGCGGTCCTTTCGGGGATGGACGTTTAACTCCGGGGTCTCGCCTCTTAAAAAACCTAATACTAATAGTCTTGACAAGGGCGTTAAACGTACACCAAATCAACAAATTTCACACTGAAATATGATCACTGATTGGTCACAAGGGGCTCAACAAAGAGAAGTACGCTTAACGTCGCTGGGTTTTCCGCTGTTACTGTTAACATGTCCTGACATCGCTGGTTCTTCCATTGTGGGCTATATAAATATATTTCTGTCCCCGTGGTTTTCTGCATAATTTCGCAGAATTCGATCATTTTTTGGGCATAATTTCTGATTATTTTCCTTTACCATTCTTTGTTAAAATTAACAGAATCGCATAATTTCACATTTCTGGGCTCAGTTTGCATAATTTCACAAATTTTCTTGCATAAAACGACGGGGACAGATATTTTCTAACCATCATAGTCATAGAGACTGACAGAGATCGTTTTTCCGAATGTGAGTAAGTGCTCAAACACGCAGGCTTCATACAGACCACACATAAAAAGTACCGGAAACCCAGAAAATGAAAAATAAATTAACACCGCTGGTTTTTCCATTGTGCTCTTCATAAAAAAATTTTTTTTTTTTAAACAACAAAATATATATATATAATTATATATATATATATATATATATATATATATATGTAAACAAGACTCACGTGTGTGTGTGTGTATGGAAAAAAGAAGCAACCCACACTATAGTACAGGCAAACCACCCGTTTGGTTGGTTTTATGGCATTCAGCACCGTGGGGTCAGGTCTAGAATGTGCCAGTAGTTTTCAGTAGTTTTATTCCCAATGCACACTACAAGAACTAGCCTATATAATACTATATTAATATTATTTAAGTTTCAAGTCCGTCTACCCCGCAACGGATAGCGAAAAACCTGTCAATAATTGTGTCCCGGGTCTGAGCAGGAGCAGAAACAGGAGACGAAAGCAGACAACAAAGCATAATAATTAGAGAGCAGGAAAGGTGAAAAGAGAAAATTTTTCAGAGGAGAACGTTTTCCGTTGCTGTCTGCGTGAGGTTTGGAACCCAGGACCTATTGAATGAGAGGCGTTTACCAAACCTACGATATTTCCAGACTACATAAATCTCTTACAAAAGAATATTGCATGTTCTATCTATGGCTTTATAAACTGGCGTCTGCGGTGGTGTAGCAGGAGGGCATTCTGCTGTAGCCTGCAGAAGACCCTAGTTCAATTCCTGTGTGGGGAGAATTTTTATCGAGTATATCTTGCCTTTCAGTCAGCTGGGACGTTGTATCTTCTAGCACGGCTAACCCTGACAGGCAGGGATGAAGTTGAAGCCCAGCTAATCCTAAACGATAGAATCTGTAATTAAGTGTCGATATAGATGTGAAAACATTCACACAAAAAAAAGGACAAAATTTGGTCGTGGAAGGGCTTTCAGCATTACCATCTGGCAGAATGTTATCCACCAGTAATTGGATGTTTCTGCAGTGTTTTCCCAAACAAAATACCAGCAGAAAAAGACGTTAACATGACAGTATTGACAGTGAGCAGCTTCAGCGGCGATACATGAGATGATGATGCCACTGGAATTTAGTTGGCGATTTCGGATAAGGTCATTCTCATTCTTTGCGAAAATGGTGAAATTATATTGTATACAGGACATGGCAAGGGCTACCACTACCATGGTCTGTATTGTAATGAGGCGGTTATACTTTTCAACTTTGCACATAGAAGATGCGAGTTCAATCCTCAAGTGGGGAAGCTTTTTTCGAGTATCAGTTGTTAGTGTGCAGGGATGAAAACTCCGCTCGCCAATCTCATTATTGTGCCAGCTGTAGATCTAGACGTAGCTGCTGGTGGTGCTGTGTCCTCCCTACCATCACTTTCTTTACTAAAAATAAAAGTACAAGTACTAAAAGCACAACTCTCCTCTCCATCTTCAGAACCTGAAGACAACACTCTCTCTCCTGTTTCCACCAACTCTTCATTTTGTTCTGGGCTTTTCGCTAAGAAACATTGGGCAGGGTGTATTTGTTTCCTTGTCTTTATTTTGTAGACTACCATAGGCCTACTTGACTTGCACTAAAGAAAAGTGAAATCCATTGAAATATCAATTGACATATGCCTTTCACTTCTACTCAAATGTAAACTGGAAGGGCAAGTGGAAAAACAAACATGAACCAGGTGGTGGATTTATATTTAATTTCAAAGTGACTTTGTGTAGGACCATACAAATGTAACAATGCAAGCAGTCCTTGCCCAGTGGACATGGAACCTCAAGCTGCACTGGCAACTTGCCGTAGGAATTAAATTAAAAGTAAAAGCTTTCATAGTGTTAGTTCCTACTACTGTCCTGGAACATTTATATAATTATATTTACTATGTCCAAGGACTTGCGCTGTTGTAAAATGCAACATCAGCTCAAACACAGTGTTCCCTGTCAGGCAGTGGACCCTTTATGTCTCAAGGCTGCCATTTCCTGTTTGTTTGAGTTTGAGTAAACAAGACTCACATTTGCAAAATAATGATCCTTTCCTTTAGCCAGGAGAAAGCAAGTAAGACAGTTTAGCTTTAGTACTAGTTTTACGGCAGTTGCAACATAATTAGGTCATATAAGTGTCGATGATTAAAGGTGTTACACACAAAGAAAGAAAGAGGAACGGCAAAGACAACAATAGGAAAAAAGAAGTAAACCACATCAGAGCACTTACCAACCACACACAAGTAAGACAGGACAAACAGAAACAGCAAAGGGAACATAAGAAGATGGACACACTGGTGGCGTCTTTCAACCAATTGTAGTTGCCATTTCACTTTTGCCTCTTTCTTACACCTTCATCTTTATACACAACATCCCCTATAGGCCTATACTTTGTTCAGTTGTTTGACTTGAAGGCAGAATCCTTTGCCCCATACCAATAAACGGAGAAGAGGGAAAAGAAAAATTTCCCAGGAAGGACCAAAACAATCCAGACTTGTCTTATTCAACCCCCAAACTTCCACTTGGTCGACTAACTTAACTCGTAACCAACAGCACCCTAGCGGCCACCTTCTTGACACTACAACTCTATCACAATGATCTGACACACAAATTCCAACAGCCTTTACCACATGCTATGCATCTTTACTGTATATATACAAAAGTGAATAACAAATAGATGATACCATACACAATATAAACAGATCAAATGTAAATAGTAAAAAGGACAATTAAAAAAAAAAAAACTCCACAAGTGAAAGGGTAGAAAGAGGTGGGAGAAATGAAATTTCTCAGTCAAAACAATGTTACTAGACAGCCAAACAGGTTCAGATAGGTCTTGAGCATACAGGTAAGAGTAACTTCAAATACAAATAAAAATCTGCAACCCAGTCCATATAAGTCTAAAATTAGTTAGAAAGTACATTAAAATTGAAAAAAAAAAACAACCACTGTAAAAGCACAGTCACCACCTAAAAGCAATACTCAAAAAGAAAAAAAATTACAGTCAATCAGTCAATCTAAGAACTACGACTCTGTTCAACAATAATTTGTCTTTGTAAAACATCTTAACTCGCAGATCAATAATTTATAGATGCGTCATTCAAAAGGTGTTCTGGCATTTTTATTTGCTTTACGAAAATTCACTCTTGACAACAAGAATCTTGAGTATCTCCATGTAAGATGTTTTCAGATGTAGCAATGTTCTATGACCAACTCCCGGCATGCCTAGGCTCACTATGGGTGGAGACAGTTGACAACAAGTCTAGAAAGAGAATAGTCATGCAGAGTAGAGAATAGAAGAGAAAGAAAAAAACATGGTGCACAGCAACAACTACATTTTCACGTGACAAGAGAATATACAATGAAGTTAATGTAGGGAAAAATAAAGATCTCTACTAAGTACCTTGAAATTAGACAACAATTTGGAACTCTTGACAAAAACTTTAAAAATGTCAATCCCGTAAACCATATGCTTTGGTCACACCATTTGGTTCAGAATTATTACCATTAAAAGGCCTCATTGAAATTTTTTTTTTTTAATTAACAAAAATAAAACACCAACCCAATAACACTCATAAAGAAAAGAAGTAAAAATGAATATATGGCAAAATACAAAAATAATTACAAATGTCCTGTCTTTACAGAGCATGAGCTTAAAAACAAACAAACACCTATTCACCTCCACTTCACTTATACACTGGCTCAAAAGAAAATACCAATCAATCGCTGAATACGGCGCAAATGTTTTCCAGTGAAAGAAACTGCCTACACTAACCAGATGCCCTTGACAGTTGGAGAGAAATTTACTTTATGACTTTATGGAACAGACACTTTCATTTTCCCTGATGATGATGTAAAATATCAAGAGACAAACACTAGTCACAAATGGAAATAAGATACATTATTCAGAAATGAAGAGGCTTCAAGGTCTCAGACAAATTTTCTTAAGGCAAATAAACAGGCATGGCCCTGTTTCATTACTGAGATTGACATGACAAAATTTGTGAATAATTATCCTATGAAAAACAATACCAACTACAACACCAATTTATGAAGAAACACACACAAAAGATGCGCAATAATAATCTGCAGTGTTCAGAAAGACAAACCAATTTTATTGATAGATGACAGTCTGGAAGAAGTACATCTTTAGAACTTCATGATATTCATAAAAGGACACAAGATCAACACTGATGTTATTTCATTGGCAATGATGGAAAACATGGGAGGAATGGCAAATGCATGTGGGTGTCTTCCATGTACACTCCAAGACATTCTGGAGACTTAAAAAGTCATTACAAAAAGTTTGACCACCAGTTTATGTTTGGCAGTTTGTGTGCACATAGTCCAGCTGTGGCTACCCTCAACATTTCAGAAATGAGAGGACAAAGTATGATTCAAGACAAGGCAAACACAACAGTTTTGTAAAGTCAAACAACTCAAAAACACTTGCTCACACACTATTCTCACTGAATTCGTCTGATTAAGAGAGTAACTAAAAAAAACAACCCAACAAAACCCATGACACACAGGCTAAAACACGACTCAAACTACTGTGGGACATATTAAATTAATCTTTCATCCACTCACACCCGACAGCAGAGATACATTGATGACTACATTCAGGAGCATTCTCCCATCATCTAGGAGACAAAAAAGAAGAAATCTTCCTCCACCTTGCCAATCAGATCAAATCTACCAGACTGCGTCCTCAGCAACAATGTCTGCTAGACGAATACTTAGTAGAAACACACTTTGGTTTGTAATTTTGTTCTCCTGATCCTTACAGCATCTAAAACCACTTCACTACAGCTCACACATAGTTTGACAAAGTTGTGAGTCTTCCCTCTCATCTGCCTGTTCTCCATCGCTTATCTTTGTATCCATCTGCGAACTTTCCATTGATTATCACTTCCGTTTCTCGACAGGCTCTCCTGAATTTGAGTGTAATTATTCAGATGTAAAGGAGCTTCACAAAATAAATAACATAGAAGAAAAAAAAAGAAGAAAAAACCAACAGAAAAAAACCAAAAAAAACAATACAAAACAAAACTGCCGAGAGCACTGGACTCATTGAATGTGACTTCCACGACACCAACTGCACACAACAGGACATCCATATAATAAATCCAGAGAATCAGAGAAAACTCCTTCTACTTCCAGTAAACAGCTGCAACAGGCCACCCCAGTCAGAGATGGCTTTCCGTGAGGTCAAGGCCTAGCTTCATACCACTGCCTCACTCATCCTCCTCTTCAGAATCATCTTCTTCAGCTTGTTCCAGCCAGTTGAGCCACTGGTTGACCTAGAGGGAAAGTAGTTGTTAAAAATTGGGCTTACTGATCAGAGACATAACCAAAGTAACTTGGGCTTTTGGGATGGAGGGCTGCGACATTCTTTTTCTAGGGTACATGGCGGGAAATGCATGCCTATACTTATATCAAGACCCATTGCCAAATATGGAGAAAACCTGTAGAATATACTAATTTTAGGAACCTGTGTCATTCCTGAGGCTTGAAAACTACTTCATACAAATGGCAACACTTCAATGCACTCACAAAAAAAAACCCCCTTAATTTCCATACATATTTTCTGCCTGTAAACTTTTTCCTGTTTGTGACTGCTTGAACCACAAGCACAGCTTTCCCATAACACCGTCCAGGCTACTGTTAACACATCACGCCCTAACTAGCCCAGGAATTTCCTTACGCACTCCACTCTAACTCGCCCCCTCCGACCAAGCGCCTTTAGAAACGAATTCTCACCTTAACGAGACTCTGGGGCCGAGATTTTGTTTTACATAGTTATTGCAAAATGTTTCTTCTTCTGCTTGATACTGAAACTTGCTATCGCGTTTCTGACACTTCTAAGGTGTCTCGACATGTTGAAAAGCGACACAATTGAGTTTTTTTCTTTTTAGTAAGTGGTTTACAGCACTTGCAACAACACAATAAGGTCATATTAGTGCCGCACAAGAGAGGTGTTACAAGAGAGTTACAAACATAAAAAAGGAGGAGGGGGAGATAAAGACGATAGATATTTGATAGGAAAGAAGGAGCAAACCACATCAGAGCACCCGCCAACCACCTACAAATTGAGTTTGAAAAAGGAAATAACGATGGAGTTGAGCAAGAACAAGCAAATGACAAATCACATGAATCAAATGATGAAAACGTAGCATGAGTTTGGGGCGATCCAGATTAATCAGATGTAGAATTCAGATCTCGGGCTCGTCCACGAGTCAGAGAGAGTGACTGGTCGGACACCCAGATTGAACTGAAGTTAAACCATTTCCAACCGTTTGTACATATATAGAGTTATATTTTTCTGATACTACATCCATTGATCTTTCTAATTTTTATTGTTTCAGGATATTTGGAATTTGTTTACTATTTTTTAAAAGCGTATATTCATGGGAGGTGAGTTCTTTCCCCTTGCTCAGGATCTAGGGGTAGACTTCCTGTCCAGACCCTTAGGGTGTAAAGTGTTAAGCCCAGACCAGGACAACAAAGTATGCATGGTCCATATCAGCTTCCACCAGCTGAAGCTGGAAAGTAAGGAAAATTCTGCCGGGGGGTCTGGGGGTCTGCAGGGTCCAGGGACAGTGTCCCAGTGGGGGCCGCCCCTAAGAAATTGAAATTTAGTGCTTTTAGAGGGTTGAAAATGGCATTTGGAAGCCTCTTTTAAGAGATAGCCTACAAATTATAACATTTATTTTTTCGATAACATTTTGTCTTGTTTGATTTCTTCACCTACATATTATCTTTTCATTGCAGGCAAAGTTAAAAGGCAGGTTCCCCTTCTATTCCTACTATAATAATTCAATTAATTTGCCATCGCACAATTGATAGAAGGCAAACCTGGGAATAATGAATAGATATTCATGTACCTTCACAATAGTTGCCCAGCATATACCCTAATTTTCCTCAATTTTCACACCTAAAAGTTGCATGAGCGCGCTTATATGACCTTATGCAGGAGCGCCGTAAAAACTCATACAAAAAATGTCGCGTGTCACAACCTCGGAACACCACTTCGAATTATTCTTGATTTTAGTAGTCTTGGCATTAATTTCTTTCATCGCGTTCCCGTGCCGTAGAATCTTCGAATTGATCATTTCTCTAGATCTAGACAAATTTGCAAAAAAGTTTCTTTCTGACAGTAATTTTCTGTCTAAGATCACAAGTAAATTTACTTGATCAACACGCAGATTTTCCAACGCTGCAACAATCCGAAGATAGAAGAAATGAGAGAATGATAGAAAGGAGTAAATCGGCACAAAAAGTTCTCCAGATTTCGATCAATCTGCAGGTAAAAATGTACAGCCGACCAAATCGCAACAAATGCATGGGGCACAGCGGAATAATGGCCGATTGCCGAGAGAATTACTATAAATATCCGCACAAAACGATACGAAGGCGAGTACGGATCTTTTGCTACGGAATTTCGACAGTCCTAGGCTGTCGCAGGTTTTTACGGAGGGAGTAGATCAGGATGGAGGAACAAGTATGGAACTGGCAGAAAGTACGGATTTCCGTAAAAATACGGAAGAGTGGAAGCACTGCATTATATTCAGAACTCATTACAAGTCAAAGACCTGGTCCTTCATGCTATCATAAAAAGTCAAGTTTACAAAACATTTTTCTAATATACCCTCCCTCATATTTTTTTGTGAATAGGGCTTCAACAGATCTAAATCTCTTGTGGGCACAACAATGGTTGTGAAGAAACCAGTACGTAAATAAGACTACACTGGGTCTCCTACCAAATGTAACTTTTAAAAAGTTTTACAGCACTTTTCAACATAAATAAAGGGTCATATAAACGCCACAGATTTCAGGTGTTATTAGAGGGTAAAATACAAAGAAACGAAGGCGGAGAGATAAGGAACATAGTAGATATTTGATAGGAAAGAAGCAGCACACCATACCCTACCAGAATACACCTGCTAACCAAACACACCTGTACAACTGACAGACAAAGAACTTATTTTTATTTTAAAAAGAGAACTGTAAAGATATTTAGCTTGTCTCTCACCTGAAAGAGGGCCTTGCCTTTACCAGGATACTGGTCATTGACCTCCTCCTTCCAGCGAAGGTAAACCTCCTCTTCAATCACTTCCATATCATACAAATTGACGAAGAATCGGAGGAACATGCCTGAAATACACATTTCAAGAATAATTTACTCATGGTTTATTCCTCTGCAAGTCACTGTTGTACAATAAAAGTTATAGTTTTTTTCTGGCTAGCATCATTATAGTACATTCAGATAGCTGACCCTTTCACCAAAATGAAGTATGAACGTTTCAGCGAACACTTTCACTTCTTCCTTCTATTGAGCATGCCCTGCTCTTCTATCAAAGGCAGACACTTCAAAGCAGTCATTTATTGTTCTCGCTGTTCAACAATTTTTAATCTACGAAACCCCTGCCAATTGTACAACCAGTCTTAATGTTTCCATTTCTAGCTAAACTTACTTTGAATTTCCAGTCCAAATGCCAACAGACAAAAATCGTATTCCCACTCTGACGTTTACCAGACGAGCAAAGAGAAAGCAAAGTTACCTTTGGGGAACTGATTTGTATAGCAGAACACCTGGACAGCATAGAGAGCTGCCATCTGTAAGTTGGTGTGGTCGTGAAGGAATAACTGGAGCACTCCCTGAAAAGAGCGAGATTATACATCATCTGAATAATAATAATATTAAAAAAAGATTGCATTTATAGAGCACTCTGTCTCAGACAAGTATAAGCTGCTGAGCGAATACAAAAGAAGGGGTGCCACAAAGAGTGTCATTTAAGGCTTGTGTTGCTCGTTTTCAATAAAAAGTTCTGGTTTTTCCAACCTGAACAGGTCTCATTTCCAAATCTGAACAGGCCGATAGTTCTGCTTTTTAAAGAATTCATGGACAAAGACTGATCCCATTAATTGGTGCTTTAACTCACTTGACCCTGATCTGAAACTATCATGACAAAGTCTTTGAGGTGGACTCTGAACATTATCAGAAGCAGATTTACAAACTATTTATAGAAAGACTACAAAACAAGCAAACTGCTAGCATGAAAAAACAGCTAAACTATTCTTTATCAAAAGTAAAGCTCATGCAAAATGTTCAGCTGGTCTGCAGGTTTTAGCCCCTTGACCTTAAAGTCGACAAGACCTAACCTAGGACATGGACATTGATGGGAATTCCATAAAAGCATAGAAGAATATAAATTGAAACATAATCTGTCTTATTTAACCCTACCCGTATGCCTGGGGGTAATTTTGTACCCCAGGGGTTGAATTCTTCACATTTTAGAATACTTCTAGTGCGAAGATCACTTTGAAATTTTCAGTATTTTTCAAAAAATAATTTTGACAGACTGCTATGCAGAGATCGGATTAACAAGTAAATTTCCTCTTGGGAAAGCGGGGGCACAGAGTGAGTTTGATAATTGTCAATTTGGGAAACTTAAAAAAAACAACAACAAACCAATAACCAGGACAGACAGCTAAAATTAGCTAGAGTCGAACAAGTCAATGACACAGACTTGCCAACTTTTTCAAAACTGAATCTGGGAAACCCAGCACTGCATCAAGCGAGACTGCTTTTCGCGAAGTGTACTCGATTAGGTTAAGATCACAGCAAAACTCCCAATTGACAAATCCGGAACAGTTAAGGGAATTGGAGACAGTTGGCAAGCCAGAGAACAAGACAAAAACTCTGCAGTTACCCTGGGTGAAAAGATTTTTATATTGTGAGCGGAGAAAATATTACATTGCTTTGTCTTTTTTACCTTAAGTTTTTCGAGGAGTTCCTTTTCCTTATCCATGAGGGCTTTCTCAGGTGTAACAGTGATGTCAACCTCATCCTTCATGGTGCTTTCACTTGTGATGAATTTGAGAACCCTGAAACACAACGACATGACATCAAATTCTTATCAAGATGCAATATTCTGTTAAACACATGTTCGTAGAAACAGTATCACTACTTACAAAAAGCAAATTTAAATGCCCCCCCCCGCCCCCCAAATTTTTTTCATTGGGACTGTTTAACTTGTTCAGCTATAGTTATGAGAATTCTCGCATTCTGTCTCTAACCATGCGCAGTTCAAGTTTCTAGACCTATTGCTTTCTTGTTGGCCAAAGATCCACTGATCAGCTACGTTAACTTCTTTTTCTTCAACTTAGGCACTGACTTGGCAACAACATCTAAATCCAAATCCTTGTCAATGTCCAAATCATCCTGACCAGGCATGTATATGCTCCTTGTTTAATTAGTTCCCTCCTTTGTTGTTATGAAGGCTATACATATCGCCATTGAAGACTCAAACCATAGAAACTTCCCCTCCAGTAGCAATACTGGAAATCCATGTAGAAACAAGATTCACGTTGGAATTATACGTTATGCAAGATTTCCTTTATATCAGTAAAGGGACAATTAGAGGCAAGGACGCATTCACACCATGATCAATGACAATAATTTTTGGAGTGTCGTAAGAAAAAAAGAGAGTTCATATGTCCAGTAAATTCGTAGGAAATGACTGATAGAATGGAACAAAAATTTCCAAAGTAACTATAAAACTCCCCTTGTTACATAGTCACTTGACTTTATAAAAATTTCCATCTAGATCCCACAACAAAGAATTGCATCTGACTCCCCCCCCCCCCCCCAAAAAAAAAACAATATCTGCATAAAAAAGTCACTCACGCTGTGACCAGGACATTGATGAAGCCTGGGTCAGTATGCAGGGAGGTGTCAACCTTGTCCTTGACCCACTTGAAGACTGCTGTGGCCGTGGGCTCGGCAGCAATCTGTCGGCCCAGCTCCGACTGTATGCGCAGTAAGGGGAACATGAAACTCAGGCCTCTGTCCTCAAGGATCTCCAGCATACGTTCCTTGTTCTGATCAAGTTCTAAAGAAGTCATCAGAAACAAAAAAGGGTTACAAATGAATGAAATTGTTTAGTAGCCATCATAGTAATCTGTGGATTCAATACAATTGTGAATACAATATCAGTACTCCAAAACTAACTGCAAAAAAAAAAAGCAATGTTATAAATTTCTGATCTATACAACTTTCAGCACAACCAATATGTAAGCTTACAACATACATATTTACAAATGACACACCCAGAACACTAAATTGTAATAAAGCAAAGTTAAAACTAAAGTCCAATGTCTCTTCATATAGGTTTTACTAACAATTTTACAGCACTTACAAGAAAAGGTCAAACAAGTGCCGAAGTTTTGATGGTGTTACAAAAGAATAACAAACACAAAAAAAGGAGGAAGGAAAGATAGGGACGACAGATGCTTGATGGGAAAGAAGGAGCAAACCACACAAGAACACCTGCCAACCACCCACGTCAATGTTTCTCAAACATACCAGGTAGCATGGACTGAAGATCCAATTTGCTTTGATTGAAAATGTCCACCAGCCATTGCTTGTCCTTGATTTTATGAGTGTGTTGGAGACACAGGAGGAACAAAGGATAATGGACTCCATTCTCTAAAGGTTCCGCAAGCTCTGTCAGGGACACCAGGCCAAGAGTCAATGCCATGGCACCAAAGCGGGCAACATGTGACTTCACCAGGGGCACATCAGTTTCAAGCTCACTCATCTGATTACACACTTGTTTGAAACCCTGAAATGGACGATAAAACGCTATTAAAAAAAAAAAAAAAATTCTTTTTCTGGGGGCTTATTTAACTCACTGACTACGGTTCCCGTCAAGGGCACTGGACCCAGTGACCAGTTCACTGGTACGGATCCCGTAACTCCAACGGGATGGACTTTGCAGTTTCGCTCTGAAAATTATGCTCCCGTCACACGTACGGAAGTACACTCCAGTGCTAGTTTTGCCACTTATTTCGTTTTGTGCAGTTTGGGGCGGAAGTTGGGTGGCAGGTTTTTAAGCAATCGAAGGTGAACGACAGCCACCTCTTCTTAAATTCAACTGACCGGAACTAGCGCTAAGTTTTTTCTATAGTTAAAACATAGTCACGGCGAAAAAGTCGCATGAAGAAGAATTACATTTCGCTGTTTTCGATACTTCTGTTCGTTTAACTAGCTCTAGTGACTCAAAAAATGATGTCTTATAGTTAGTACCCTGGATATGTAACCCAACAGGGCCCGAGTAGTAGTTTTAGAGCTAGATCTAGCACTAGTCGTGAGGCAGTTGTTAGCGCAAAGAAATCACAACTTTGTGCCTTAATCTGTCTCCTCGTGTAATTCAGTGTATAGGTATGCATCAACGCACAGCACAGCTCAAACCGTCACACATATCTAAACAGAACACTTTGAACATTCATTTTTATTGTTTTAGTGAATTTGATTCTGTCTGTCATCTCTGGAAATTTTTCCGAAAGTTAAATTCATGCCAATTTTTTAAAAGTCATAACAATTGGAAGTATTAAGCTAAGTAGATAAAGCTTGAAAGTAACTTTACCACGTCAAAAAATCATTACTATCATTTTGAGAGTTGTGGTTGTGTTTTGAAATACCCCAAAAATGCTAGTATTCAACCCTAGTGACTGCTGAAACGGCCCAGTAATCAGTGAGTTTTAAACAAAATTCATGAAAGACAAGCACACCGGTTATAGAAATATTTCCCAGAGATATATTTTTTTTTGGCAATTATAAATGAAGTGATACAAGCTTCTATTTTGAAAAAGAGAACCTTGGAATTATTTACACTGCCATACCTGCATAAACTGATCTGCACTGGTAACTCCATCAGACCTGAGATCATCAATCAACTTCATGGACAGTTCTTGTTCAGCATCTGGAAAAAAGAATAAGGTCCTGTAAAATAAGGAACCAATCGAGCAACAGCATCTTAAAATAACCATTCATTTTCATTCAACCAAGGAAAACAGACAATTTGCTGCCATAATTCACTCTTCAGTGACATCAGCGATTTATTTAAAAACCGAACACTGAAGACATGAAAATGAAAGAACAAACATAAGGTAGTATAACAAAGATTTTACATCAAAGTATAAAGAGAAAGAAAAATTCCCATACCTGTTTTCTCTAAAGACTCCAACATTATTTGTGCTAACAGGTCTGGAATCATTTTCCTCGGCACATTCATTTCCTTGATATCAGCCACAGTATCCGCAAGGCTATGACTCACATAGCACTCTGACAGCAAGTAACTCTGAAAAAAAAGAAAGAAAAGAAATTAAGAATAAATTCAGGAATATTACAAAAAGCAGGAATTAAAGGAAAATGTACAAAACTATGCAAACCATGAAAGCGTTCATATAACCGTATGCAGTTGCAAGCGCCATAAAACTCTTACTAAACTAAAACCACTACAGTACACTACAATTTGTAGATCATTTCATATTATGACTGATCACATTCCCCTCCGAATAACCAGTCTTGCCTCTCTCGGTAGGGATGTGACACGATCATACATACAATACACAAACTCTTAATACATCTGAACCACCCCACCAAAAAACCAACCAACCAACCCAGGTAATTGATGATTAGAATGAGTGCATTCAAAGTAAAATTATCTTTCACATGTATGTCCTTCCATTACAACACAAAGTCTAAACAATAATTATAATCAACTAAATTGTATGTTATAAATGCTACTTACACTAAACATACACTTTCCCAATACAAACTGTGATAAGAAAATTGTCCTTTCCCTCAAGGGGGTAATCCTCTAAAAGTTGACTAACTACAACATAAAAAGAACTGTCTCAAACAGAAACTTACTAGTCTGTCAATCATCTTCTCCTTGGTGAGCTTTTCCTTAACTGGCGATTTATTCTTCTCATCCCTTATTTGCTTGACAGCCGTTGGCTGCTGCTGTTGTTGTTGTTGCTGCTGCTGCTGCACAACAGAAGAAAGAGTACATTTTCATTTCAGATTACTTATTCCAGAATAAGAAAGTTTTAATAACCAAACAAACTCAGGGGGAAAGCACGAGGTCTTGAAAATTAAAGCTATATTGATTAAGTTATGCTTATGCCTCCATAGCCTGATCTTAATTTGCTATTACTAACCATAGGGGGATATGACATTTCACAGATGTCAGTTAAAGTAATCAAAATGGGAGGGGGGGGGGGGGGGGGGAAAAAGGAAAGGAGGAAAAGAGGGAAAGAGGATGAGAGATTAACCTCAGCAACTGACTGACCTGTTTGTCCAGCAGAGGGTTCAACATCTCCGAGATGTCAGTGCTCTTCTTTGCAACAAAGCCAGACTCCCTCGGTGCAGGGTGCTGGGCCTGTGCTGAGCGTGGTAACATTGACGGTGTGTTGGGCTTGAACATGGTGAAGTTCTTTACTGGCCGCAGGCTTACTTCCTCCTGACACAGGAAACAAGCATGTGAACATTTCAAACCAGCAGTTACACCAGGTGAGCCACACAGGAATTAGCTCCAAAATGAGTGATGTGGTGTACAGTCATAAGTTATGACAACAGTAACACAGAGGAGCAGAAGTTGTAGACCACACCAGAGCAGCCTCTTATCAGTTTGGCTATGAGAAGAATATTAGTACTTAGGGAAACTGAGAAACTAAGGACACGTGACACTGAAAGAAGACATTGCTTCAATTCACAGAAACACTATTGTCTTGATCATTCTACTTCAGAAAAATAGTAGCATTTACAAATAAACGTACTCAATCTTGCAGTTCAGAGAGAGGGTCATAATTGATGTAGTAGAAGTCTACCTTTATTCCATTAACAGGCGGTGCCAAATTCAATGGTGGAGAGGTCGAGGGTGAGGGCTGTCCTGGTGCTCCGATGGGAGCAGAACCAGAGTTGTTGGGACCCATGCCAGACTCTCTACCTCCCTGACCAGCTCCAGGCCCAGTCTGTTGCTGAACCATGCGTTGGAAACGAGGCGGGAGATCCCTGTTCATTCCTGAAAAAGAAAACACAATTCCAAAACATGAATTCAATACATACATCATTCAGTTACGGACTGACATAATTCTCTTTTCCCCCACTCCTAAAAGCATTTGACTACAACTGAACAGTAGCTCAACCTTTCCTCCACCATTGCCCCTTTAATATACCCCCCCCCACCCCCACCCAAATACATTTGTAGCTGTTGAGTCTTCATTTCATCTACATAAGTACCTTCGTTTAGTTTTAGTAAATGTTTTAAGGCACTTGCAACACAATAAGGCCATATAAGTGCTGAAGATTAGAGGTGTTACAAGAGAGAGAGTAACAAACACAAAAAGAAGGAGGAGAGACAAGGGCAATAAATGTTTGATATGAAAGAAGGAGCAGACCACACCAGAGCACCTGCCAACCACCCACACAAGTGAATAACTTACCACCTTGCTTGTTTTGCTGTTGCTGAAAATGGTGACTGGGCTGAAAGTTCTGTTGCCCATAGCCTCCACCCTGCTGTCCATAGCTGCCGCCGCCTCCATGACCTGACGTGTTTCCTCCTTGCTGGTTATAGGCACCTTGGTTATTTCTACGCTGATTGTTTGGGCTGGAGCCGCTGCCCTCCTGTTGTGACTTCCCACGTCCTTTGTTATTGAAGTTGGTCTGGAAATTATTTTGATAACCTGTGGGGCCAAGCAAAAAAAGTAGTTCAAGTTCTTTAAGAAAAATTAACTTTATGGGGCATTCAAGAAAACAAAGGAAAAAAACAACAAACAATTCACTCATTAAAGAAAGGGTATGGAACAAAACAATTTCTTTTAGTTAGTGAGCGCCAGAAGATTAGAGGTGTTACAAGAGAGTAACAAACATAAAAAAGAAGAAGGGGAGATAAGGACGATAGATGTTTGATAGGAAAGAAGAAGCAAACCACACCAGAGCATCCGCCAACCGCAAACAATTTCTGAGAACTCACTGATCATTCAAACAAGATAATGACACATCAGAATATTTCATTTTGCAAATCCCTGACTTATAGAAGAACAACATGTCTAACAAATTAACTTTTAGTTTAGTTTTCGGAAGAGTTCTATGGCACTTGCAACAAATAGGTTATATAAAAGCAAAAGATAAGGCAGCAGTTCCCTATTGCAGTTCAGACACAGTTATGAGCATGACATTGATGAATTAGCCCATTTACAATTACAATTCTACAGTGCATTGTTGTTATCGATCCAAATTCTACAGTACGTAAGAACATGGTTAATATCCTCCCTTTGGGAATGGCCTTAAGACACTTCAGTCAGTATCACCGGTCCGGGGGGGGGTGTTAGTAGAAGTTTTACAGCACTTGCACCACAATAAGGTCATATAGGTGCCGAAGATTAGAGGCGTTACAAGAGAGTGACAAACACAAAAAAGAGAGAGGAGTGAAGGAAAGAAGGAGCATACCACACCAAAGCACCAGCCAACCACCCACATACAAATATTTTAAAGCAGAAGCAACCCACCCACAGGAGCAAAAAGTCGAGTAAAAACAAATACAAGATATGTAATTTGGTATTTACAGCCATAGACCACAGCAGAACTTACTTGGATTCTGTTGATTAAACCTGTTCCTATTCATACCGTTGTTGAAATTGTTAGGCATTGAGGAGAAGTTGTCCATCTGTATCACTCCAGGTCCAACACCAATGGCATTACCTAGGCAGAAAAGAGTGCAGTCTGATTGAAATTGTTCAAACATCAAGACCCAGACAAACATCCCTCAGTCGCTCATGCCTCAACCCCATAGTGTCGCTTAATTAGAAAGCAAATGATATTTAACATATTTTTTTACTTAACCACTTAGACAATTGACACTTATTACCTTACTTTAAATTAGATTTAGTAGGGTTTTACTGTGCAACAAGTTTGAATTACAGGCCTTGCAGCCAAACAGTGATCTAGTGACAACAGGGGAAAAAATACCAACCCTTTAAATAGTTTCTACAAATCCAGTGAGTGCCACCACAGCAATCTCCTATATCATTTGTAATGAACAGCTTTATAACAACGATATAACTATAACTAAAATATTTCTGAAATGGCACTTCCTTCTATCCATAACTAAGAGGACATAAAGAAGACCATAACTAAGAGGTCATAAAGAAGACCGTTGTACTTACTCATGGAGCCTACTGGCATGCTGAAAATGTCACCCATGCCACCTTTCCAGTTCGTGCCTGGGATATTACCCATGTTCATCATGCGAGACTGCAACAGCGACTGGTTGTTCTGGGAGCCGCGACCCTGTGGGAAGAACAATAATCAAATCAATCAGTCACATGAAAGAGGGTGTGCTCTTCAAATAAGAACTAAACAGCAATAAGACTAAACGTTTCTCTTGCACTTGGAGGGATTGTGCTCATCAAACCTCAACATTGAAATGAATTCATACTGTGTCAGGGATAGATTGCAAAGTTAAATAAGTCTATACACTACAGGCAAAGATTACGTTCAGCCCAGTGATAATTGACAAGCCCTTCAACAACTAAAATATAGCAATTTGAAATCTCTATTATAACACACAATGAGCCATACACAAAAACAAAAAAATATTGTCATATGAGTCTTACATTCACTCCAGCTTCTTGTCTAATCTGGGTGATGGTTTTTGGCCCGGTCTCATTTGCAATCTTACGGGGCTTCCACTGAAATGCAAAAGGTTTGTATATTACTAAAAGAAAAAAAAAAAACAACAAAAAAACACCAAGACAAGCAGTTTTTACCCCTTTTGTAGGATTTATATCCTTATGTCAAATAAGAATACTAGTTAAAATGAGTTAAAATTCCTTAAAAAATGCCTTTACTTGGCAGTAAGACACACAGTGCGTAGAGGCCCAGAGGTGAAAACACAGTGCCTTTACTATTTTCCTCAAAGCAGCTCTTACAACACACACACACAATAATACACATACCATAAAGAGTGTAGATACATCTTGATACTGTACTGTCCTGCGGCAATTTAGAGAATAATATTTCCTTGTTTCAAAGGAATGAAGAATGCTTTCATAATTACCCACTGTCAAGACTCATTGACTTGTAAGTGATAGGGCAAAAGCACTTTTCTTTAAATTCTGAAATGATTGAAAGATGAGACAAAGTAAAAATAATACATACGTCATTGTCTCGCAGCTCGATAACATCCTGAAGCATAAAGCGAATCCGAGACGGGAGCTCGCTGTTGAGAGCAAACTGGTTGATTCGCTCAAAGTATTGGTCCATCCAGGCCTGAAATGAAAAAACAATCAAATGAACCAAAAAAAGAATAAAAATGGTAACTTAAAAAAGTTTCAGTTGATACTATTTCCCACTAGACCATATAAGGAAATACACCAGTAACAAAAGTCTTAAGTCGAGTCTTAACAGAAAAATGAAGCTTAAAAAACCTTTGTCAGAACTATGTACTATTTTAGCAAGTACCATGCTTTCACTGGCCAGCCATACATAATAACAAATGTAGTAAATCTTTGCCAAATTTTGAAAAATAAATTTATGAACCAAACTACGATGTCCAAAGCAAAGTTATTCGCCTGTGGACCCATAACTGACCAGCAGGTAGTTGTAACACTATAAACAACGTAAACCGATCTAGTTGCTAAGCAAAGGCTGATAGAGCAAGGAATAACACCTCTTTTCGCTCACAACCCTTCCTCGTTCACATCTAAACATACAACAATTTCAGTACATTTCAAGTATATCCCAGATGTATTGCCCACTAGGGCTGGGCGAGTACCTGAGCAGAGAGCTCAAAGCCGGCTACCCGAGTATTGGTGTCGGGTACCCGGGTTTTCTACCCCCCTCCATTAATACTATGCAAGTGCATTTAAATTATGTCCCTTTGTTCGAACCTTAATAAGTACAGAGTATTTATCTATGCTGAGCTCTTTAAGTTCATATAGTACTCTATATTGGCCAATACCAACAAGTGCCCACCGCTATTCGTACCCCTTTTCCCTGGAAACAAGAGACAACAAAAAAAAAGCCACATTTGGGCATGTTGTAAGAAAGTTTCCAGGAATCAATCAAATACTTTGGTAGGGCTCGGCCTATAGTTTCAATTTCAATGTCTTTGGAAGCAACTTGTGTGCAGTTCTGAGAATCCAACGGAGAAGCAGACAATTTCTAAGAATTATGTGATGTAAAAGAAGTTAAAATAGATTTGGCTTTGTCATTTTAGCACAGTTTCTATCAAGATGTCTCAAAGAAAGTCATATGCCTGGGATTACTTTGAGAAAGTAAAAAGACGATAAAAAACGAAAAAGAAGTGCCTTCTGCAACATCTGCAAAAGCATAATAAAAGTTGATGGGTCTTCAACTTCAAGCCTCTTAAAGCATTTGAAGGGAAAACACCGTCGCAAGCAGGCAAAGCAGTACAGAAACACCATATGACAATTGAAACATTGGGTACCCGACAGGCACCAGGGTATTTTTATAATTACCCGGGTACCAAATAACTTGTGTAATCCCAGCCCTATTGCCCTCATGATCTGTGAGTAAATTTTGCATGTCCACAAAGAAGACAAGTTCCCCTGTCACTTACCCTCGCTTTAGGCGTATCTATGCGTGGGCCAATGGTGCGCATTATCTGACACAAGCACTCCAAATCCTCTGACATGTCTCGAAGCTGTGCATTCTTTTTCTTCTCCAGCAATTGCTTGATGCACTTGTGAAGAATGCCCTCGTGCAACATCTGCAACTTACCAAGCTCACCTTCAAAGATAAACAAATGAATAAAAGCGTCAAAATTGAATACACATATATAAATTTGGGGACCTGTAAAGTATCAAACAAGCTAACCACAAAATAATCTTTTTTAATTTCAAGGAATGACATATTTATTTCTGATGGAATCCAACAAAAAGGGAGAGACCATCAACACATACTTTACTACTGGCCATACAAGATGGACCAAAATCTGTGAGATTTAATGATGAGGTCAAAGCCTTCCCTTACTATGAAATGAACAGATTTTATTTTAATGCCAATTTGAGTTTTTATTGCCCTTTGTTTCCTCAGTAAAGCAAAACTATTCCTATTCACTAGCTAGCCGATTAGTAGGCAAAAGCAAAGAGTAAAAAATACAAATTCACCAAACACGGTAAAGACCAGAAAACCACAACAGCACTACACATCCACATTTGTGTGAAACTCACTCTTGGAAAGGAGAAAATTAACTAATACTGCAAACGTTTTAGTACGGTTTTATGAGCGCCATAATACTGCAAACATTGCCAACAAGAAAAGAACTAACAGAAATAACAAAATTGAGTTTTCACATTCTGGAGTTCAATAACATTTATTTGTCAAATTTCTGGGGCCCTGTGTTTTTAAATTCAGGTACCTTGGGTCTGGCACCTGCGCTAATTTGAACAGGTAAAATTTAAACATATGTCCAAGACCTAATTTTACAGAGAAAACTACACAATGTCCAAATGGCTGTGAAGCAAAAGAAACAGCTTCCAACGTATACCAATGTCTGATGACTGCTGCTTCTCAGTACATCTTTCGTGACTGTAAGCAACATACTAATCTGCTTGGGGAAAAAATGGACAATATTTGGGTCATTTCAAAGATATGTGGGGGTCCTTCTGATTGAAAATGTTGGCACGCACACGAACAACTGTTTTGATACCTTTCTCCCTAAATCGCTTTTCCCTCTTCATTATAACTTAGTTACTACACAAGTACTTTTCAACCCTACAAAGGTATTTCACTCTAATATGGAATTAAATTTATTCACAAACAAATCAAAATGAGTACCATACCGATGAACTTGAGGTTCCCAAGCATCTTCTTCTTGACAATGTGATACTGCTCACACTCCTCCTCTGTAAGCCGAACATCTTTCTTGTCGAAGACTGTAAAATAATTTATTTTTTTTATTATTGCTCTACACGTAACAGGAACGAAAAGTAGCATCATTAAAGTACAGTCAAACCTGTGTAAGACGGCCACCCATTGTTAAGGAGAAAAGTGGCCGTATAAGACAGATGGCCGTCTTAGGCAGGACTGATCAAGATGAACCTAAAAAGAAAAACCATTCCCATCTGAGGTCCCCATCGAAAGTAGCCGCATTGTTGTTGTTGGTTTGTATTTTGTTTGTAATTTTTATTTTGTTGCTGACTTTGCACAAGGGTGACTATAAAACGAAATGTATCAGACGAGGAAGACCGAGTGCCATGTTAAAACAAACACATGGGTCGCCACCACTCGGAGAACGAGCGACGCTTCTGTCACAAGTTCATGTTGACGTCTTATAAGTGACTACTTATCTCACTTACGATTTGAGTATGAGTTCTGGGCGGGGCTTATGGGTTATGAGAGATGACACGCTTACCTCACCAGCAGCTGAAAATTGGTAGCTATTGGTCAACAGTGGGAGGGGCCAACGCAACATGATCGGTTGGAGGGACTACCTAACAACAATGACAGGTGATTGAATTATGACGGCTCGCCCACAACGCCAGGGGCCAATGCTTTAAGACAAAATGTAATGGAGTCACTAAGGTTGCCGTCTAAGACAGGTGTTATTGCTTAGTGTGATAGGGGTTGTGTGTTAAATTTATGGTGGCCGCAGCGGCGTTAGACAGGTGCCCGTTTTACACAGTTAAATTATAGGCCACCTCTATTCTCAGCCCAGGCGAGTCTTTTAGCTATTCTCACCCGGTGTGCGTTCACCATTATAGCCTAGATCTAGGCCAACCAATTTTGCGTTCACCCTAAACCACAGAATTTTACACTGTGATAACAGAAAAATTGTAGAATTCTGTGCCGTGAACAAACGTTCCATTACTACTGTTAGCCTACTAAAAGCGTACAACTTCCGGGCAAAACAAAATGGCGACCCGCGTAGTTCGACTCGATTCGAAAAGTTAAGTAGCCGTAGCATCTTTGTAGACGACCAAATTAATTTACTTTTGTGTTTTAACATCATTCTTTAACTTTGTTTCAGTCAATTTGATGGTCCACACCGATAGACAGTATTCAGAAAGAGACAGAGAGATAGGAGAGGAGTAGATCTTGAGAGAACTTCCACGCAAAACAAAATGGCGACCCCCGTAGTTCTGCTCGATTCGAAAAGTGAAATAGCCATAGCATCTTTGTAGTTGATAAAATTATCTTACTTTTGTGCTATAACATAATTTTTTCTTTGCCTTTATCCATTTGATCATCCACACCGATAGAAAGTATTCCGAAATTAGGAAAAACAGGTCTTGTTTCACACCGGGTGAGATTAGCTTACAGTGGCAAGTCTCACCTGGGGTGAGAGGTCGATCGTATTTCTATTCTCACCCCGGGTGAGAATAGCCACTTCCTAAATTATATAGAAAAAACGCAAGGGGAGAAATGGAAAGTGGCCGTTTGTACAGATGGCCGTCAGGGCAGGTTTGACTGTAACTTTTCATTTATAAAAGTGACTCACAGAAATAACACAAAAATCAGAATAAACTAGACATTTTTTTAAAACATGGTCTTATCTCCAGCAGACCAGTAAAAATATCTGCAATTGCCAACGAAGAGGACCAAAAAAAAAATGCTGTCAATATAGAACTGATCAGTAGAAAGACAACTTAAATCAAAATAAAGAGGATGAACACAAAGAGGAAAACTTAATTTAAATCTCTACTTTTACATACACAGATAAAAGTATGTTACCTTCTGTTGCATGAGACCTGTTTTCAAACTCATCTTGGCACTTGTTTAGCAAAAGCCGCCTGAAAGTCTGAAATATTGAACAAAAATTATTCACTACATGAAAGTACTCTAGTCATTTAATGTAATGAATCTTATACTTGTACGGGGCTCTGGGAAACACTTCACATGGTGCAAATTTTCAACATGGACTTTTATGCATGTTTTGAAAGACACATCTTTCCCGAGCATTTTGCATTTTATTTGAGTGCAACTGGACGATTATGTGAAAAGTTATGGCATTCTAAAGTGAAAAAGGGTGCGAAAAGGAAGTTTTGAGTAAACGGGTTTTAAAGTTTTGTTTACTTCAGTAACGAATTAAAATTAAGTAAAGAATAGTGCTCCATCACTAGGAACCAAACAACTTGCAAATTATTTACTGTAAACTCGATAAAAATACTTTGCAGAGCAGAATAAAAAGGTAGTGTCTACGTTCTCTAACGTTAGAGGACGTATACAAGCTGTCTACGTTCTCTAATGCTCAGTGCTTCCTAGCGTGGCATTGAATCCAGGTCCAGCCTGGAAACTTTGGGGTTTTTTTTCTTTTTTCCCCTCTCATTTTCCTTACTGACCAACAATTTACCTCCGGACCCCCAACCAGGACGAATGATAATTGGCAGGAGGAACAATTGGCACGGGTCTGAGGGCCGCAGGAGGGCCCTGGATAAAGAAAATTTGCAATTGAAGAGCTAAAATTTGGCTAGAATTTTAAAAAGTAGACTCACAGACCAAGGAAAGCCACTGTTGAAAATGTACGTTAACCAGGCATAAATTGGTAAAAGGCAAAGTAGGCCTATACTTTGTAGATAAAAGTTAGCTCCTCTTGGAGACAAAAACCAGAATTTGCATGATTCATCACTACATAAGTAATTAAAAAGCAACAAATTATAATAATGGAGAAAATTGTTGGTCAGTCGAGAGGAGAAGAAAAACCCCAAAAAAACCCAAAAAAACTTTGGGACCGGGATTCGAACCCACACTCATACACTTCAAGCGCAGACACGCTGACCACTCGGCTATCAGAACATCCAACGACCAGAGGTAGATTAAACTTAATATATATACAGCACTGTCTCAGGAAAGGCAACAGCATAGATCAAGTTGTTGACATCTAGTTTTCTACTTCTACAACAAAGAAAGTGAGAAAGTCGGAAACATGGGGATGGCGGGGGGGTATCAATAAGGTGACGGGCATCGGATCGACAGATGAGGTCTGGAGGAAACTTTTAAAAAATGGCGGAAAATCGGAAGCACTGAACGTTAGAGAACGTAGACAGCTTGTATACACTCTCTAACGTAAGAGAACGTAGACACTTCTGAATAAAAAACAAAATCAAATGGGAACAGTTCACATTTGGTTTGAATGGCAGTAAATAGAGTAGAAGACGGTTATAGTATAGTATTATAGTAGAGGGTTTTACAACGCTCGCAACTGCATACGGTCATATGAGCGCCAAGAGGCGGGTGTCAACAGAGAAGTCTTTACAGAGAATCAGACTTAGACTGCTCACCTCTCTAGCTTCAACAGCACATGGTCTGCTTCGACTATGAAGGCACCCCGGAAATAGCAGGTGACAAGAGAGTGACAAACATACAAAAAAAGTAGAGGAAAATGACAATAGTAAGGATCAGGAAAGAAAAAGCAGCTGTTCCCTGTTGTAGATCAGGCACAGTTATGAGCATGACATGAGCCAGCCCATTTACAATTCTACTATGCTTGAACGAGAAATGCCCCCCCCCCCCCTTGGGAATGGCCTAAAGACACTACAGTCATTGGCACTGCCCCCGGGGGTGAAGACGGTTAAACGGCACTCATGAAAAAACTTTTCAGAAGTGAAACTAGAACAAGAAGACGCGCAACTCTTGCAACTACTTGTGATGTTTAAATATTCATGCACACTGGGTTTTCCTGAAACAGCAGCCATTTTGTATATAATATGTGAAGGTTCCCGAGGAACGGAAGTGTCTATCCGATTGAGTAAAGATTCCCTCCGTTTGACTTGGAATTGGGCTACATTATGTCCTCATAAATAATTCTTTTAAAATATTTAGAATCATCTTTGAGCAAATTCCTTGAAACACATGATGTTAAAATGGTTTATTTTTCTAATTTCATATCTCATTTTTAAAGTCAAAATGAAGTTCAGGGCATATATTCGGCGATATCTAAAAATAAAATTCCACACGATTTGACGGGTCTTCTCAGAGCCAAGCACATATAGTCAAGGTACAAAATTCATCCGAATTGAACAAAAACGTGCTACCAGAAAAGATTAACCTACTGATTCCCTACAGAGTGAGCATGGAAATCTTAAGAAAAACTCAAACCTCAAGCCAAAGTGCTAGGGTATAAAAAGAAAAAAAAAAAATCAGAGGAGACAACTGTTTTCAGTGGAATAAATACTCATTTAAAAACATGACGCATTTTCTCTTCTTTAACACTGGTTGGGAAAGCAGACGCACAAACCCATGCGAATGAACACATCACTTCATTTCATTCTAACGAAAGATACTTACTGTAACGCTGCTGGTTTGAGGGTCAAAGTTCGGCGAGTCTTCACATAATCTATGGCACAGTTGAGCATATAATGAACTGTATTTAGGTTCTTCCAAAGCCTTTTCAAAAATCTGAAAATTAAATATGATAATGGGAGTATAACAAGCAATGGTCACAGTTCTAAAATTTGAAAGAAAAAAAAAAAGAAAAAAACCTGGTCAAAATATCCACAATTGCCAACCAAGATGAAAAGAATTTGCAGTCAATATTGATCTGACCTGTAAGTAGACCACTTAACCCCTTCGCTGCAGCGCCCGTAAAATTCATGGGCCTGAACCCCTTGAAAACTGCAAAATGGGGGGGGGGGGGGGGGGGGGCTGGTGCCTTTGATCAAAATAATAGGTCTTGAAAAAAAAAACAAAGAAACAAATATTTTAAAATATTGCCCAACAAGCAGAAAAATGCTGCTTTCTTAAATTTCATTATTCTGAATAGTGCCTGGTTTCACTAAAACTGACTCACATATCATATATTAATCAAAGGTACACTTACCAAAAGAATAATTCCTTTAAGGATAACTTGGGTTTCAATGCCTACATTTAACAATTCAAGGCTCAGCTTATCAAACTTCTCAGGAGTAAGTTTGTTGAGAATCCTGAAAGAAATAAACAAGATTAAAATCAACAGTGAACTTTCTTAGTAAGGAGGCAAAATTAGAAGCCTGATAACCGGCTTGCTACACAAATGATAGTTTTAACAGTTTTAAAAACAAAGGGGAAAAATAAAATTTCAGAAATTTACTAAGTAAAACAAATAGCAACACAATGTGTTTTCCTACATAATAAAATAATGACCGGAAAAAAGTTTATCTTTAATATCTTCTTTTCAGACAGAAAGAATACAAAAATACTGAGAAAAAGTAATTGCAGCTGTGGGATAAGTTCTCGGTTTAGCTTGTACAGTCAAACCTGTGTAAGACGGCCACACATTGTCAAGGAGAAAAGTTAGACCTGCATGTGAGCCTCAACCAGATTGTCTGAAAATTTTGCGCAACCCTCCCCCCCCCCCCCCCCAAAGCCTTTGTGGGTGTCATAAGGAAGGACATCCGAGTAACGAGCGACCACCCCAACAAACACAATAAAGAAGAGACCTAACCCTAACCCTACCCCCAAAAAGAACCTGCAACGGGCCTCATGTAAAAAGGCCAAAACAAGTCCTAAATGAAAAAAAAATGTTTAATTAAAAAACCACACTCCAAAACAAACAAGGAGCATAGATCTAGATTCTAGATCTATATGGCTTACATCTACATTGCTATAGGGTTTGGATACAATAACACAATAGTGTCAATAGAATTGGAATATGAATCCTCCATCTATCTAGATCTAGTAATCTAAATAAATCTAGATCTAGATCTAGATCTTGTAGAACAAGTGAATAGGAATAGACCTTGAACTAGAAATCCGCATCCGATTCCGAACAGCGGGACTCAGCTGAGTCTAGATTCTAGATCTCTAGATCTAGATTAGACAAACCTGATGAAATGCTTATTTTTACCAATATTAATATTACAGAACAACCTATGATAGGGTTTGACACAATAGAATTGGAATCTGAATCCTCCATTGAGGTCTATAATGATCTAGATCTATATAAATCTAGATTCTAGATCTATATTCTATTAGAACAAGAGAGTCGGACTTGAATGAATCCACACGATCTGAACAATTGAATTAGTCAACAAACGAAATTCAAAATGGCCGCTCGAGCACGAAACTGAAAGTAGATAATTTAAGTTGTCGTCCTTTTTCGTATTCGCATTTCTACTTAGGTTCCGACAATTATGTCGGAAACGCCGACGTCGGCAGTCGGCGGTGCGCGCGTCGGCGGTCGGCACGAAAACGAAAGTGCCGGCGAAGCCGACGGGAGAAAAATGGGTCGCTGGCAGTCGGCCAAGCCTCGCACTACGCACATTGACTGATACAGGCGGGCCTAGCGATAGCATCGGCCGGTTCGCGGGTCGGGTCGCGATTGTCGGATTTCAGACGATTGTCGGCAAACATGCAGGTCTAGAAAAGTGGATGTATAAGACAGGTGGCCGTCTGATCAGGATGAGGAAAACAAACTATTCCCATCTGAGGTCCCAATCGAAAGTAGCCGCACTGTTGTTTTTGTTGTTGGTGGTGGTTGGTATTTTGTTTGTAATTTTTACTTTATTGCTGATTTTGCGCATGGGTGACAATGAAACGAAATGCATCAGACGAGGAAGACCGAATGCCATGTTAAAACAAAAACATGGGTCCACCACCACTCGGAGAACAAGCGACGCTTCTGTCACAAGTTCATGTTGACGTCCTTTGTTACTTTGTTACAGACTGGGTAAACAGTGACCACTCATCTCACTTACGATTTGTGTTGTTGAGTTGTGGGTGGGGGTTGTGGGTTATGAGGGATCATACGCTTACCTCACCAGCAGCTGAAAATTGGTACCTATTGGTCAACAGTGGGAGGGGCCTTCGCAACATGATCGGTTGGAGGGACTACCTGACAACAACGACAGGTGATTGAATTATGACGGCTCGCCCTCAATACCAGCGGCCAATGCGCAGTTTATGACAAAACGTAATGGAGTCACTAAGGTAACCGTCTAAGACAGGTGTTATTGCTTAGTGTGATAGGTGTTGTGTGTTAAAATATGGTGGCCGCGGCCGTGTTGGACAGGTGCCTGTTTTACACAGTTATTATATAGAAAAAACGCAAGGGAGGAAATGGAAAGTGGCCGTCTTATAGAGGTGGCCGTCAGGGCAGGTTTGACTATAATTTAAAATTTAAAAAAAACAACTACTATTATAATGTAAAAGAGAATGAGCACTGGACAAAAAACACTAATCATACCCTCTGACACGCCGGAAAATTTGGTCATTTTTGTCTTTGGGCTTGACACCATCCCTTGGAGCACTGCTGGGTGGTACCCATCGATTGTTTGCACTGGACGCTGTCACGCCCGAGCCGGATTTGAGAGTGGGTGGTCTCTCGTCCCTGAAACATAAAAACTGTACTTTCAGCACAATACAGAAACTGCAGGCTGCAAATGCCAGGACAAGGGAAAACATTTCTGGAGGACAATGCAGGTGATGTAGAATATAAGGCAAAAGGTAATGCTGGTTTGATCACAGATTAAGAATTTGTCATGTAATATTGACAATAAAACAAGTATGCAAAGGTAAGCTTCAATTTTCAGTTGTGTTCTCTGGTACCGATATAAAATATAAAGATAAAAATTCATTAAGGTTCTACAAAAACACGAGGAAAAAACCCATCTCATTCTAATAATCAATACAGCACTGCAATAACACATAATACAAAACTACAACCATTAAACCAATATACTTGACAATAATTAATTCCAGGTGAATTGTGTACATACCGTCCTCCTAAGTGTGGAGAAACACCACCCTTGGATGACTGTGAGTCCAGTATGCTGCTTATCTTTGACCAGTCTTGTTACAAGCTCTTTCACAAAAAATATGACGACAAAAAATCGTGATGTAGTTGTTGGAGCCTGTGAAAGAAATAAAGACATCAGTTAGTTGAACAACAAAAAGAGCCAGTAAACTTAAACTTGTCAGATACTCACTACTCCCTGACAGTACTGTTGTGATAATACAATTCTGTGTAACACTTCAAGCCCTGCCATGAATACAACATACCAGGCTCAAGATAGTCTTGACATCCCATTCAAGAAATCACCAAAAATCAAATCCTCTCTACCATCTAGGCTGAGAAAATTGAGAGGGCTTGCAGCCAAAACTTTTCGAAAAAGGAGACGGAAAGTAGACTGATAGCACCCAAGTCTTACTGATCCTAAACTTACCCTCTCAATAACATAAGCCTCAATTAGGGGGAAAAAAGCAAACCATATCAGACAATGATTGATTATCACAAGATAGGGAGGCCTGAAACACAAATGAACTATGAAATCGAAGAATAAAACATTAAAGATCCAACTCACATTTGAAGAAATATGGAAGAGGCTAGCCGTACTTTATGACCGCTAGACTGCTAGGCTAGCCGCGGCGTACTTAATGACGGCTGGGTTAGCCGCACTTAATAATGATGGCTAGACTGACAAACAGCCAAAAATAGGCCAACAGAATTGTAAATAAATTTTTACTCTGCAGTACCTAAAGTGTTTGTACTTGAGACGAAACCAAAAGGTGCCTTACTGAAAGTGCATGTATTTTAAACCTGAATAATTAATAATGAGACGTGTACTCTTCAGGTTTCTAATATGGCCAAAAACGCATTTAATAATGAGGACTGAATTGTAAATAAAATTTTAGTTAACAATACTTACTGACATGAATGTATTTTAAACCTGAATAATTACTAGTACTAGATCTAATATTAAGGAGATCTGTGTGTACTCAACAGGTTTCGGTCAAGCAAGAGGCTATTCGCGCCGGTCAATAGATCGGAGGCTATTCTCCGGCGTCATAACTAGGCCTAGTAAGTCTACCTTTCATTATATTTTATCTATGGTAATTGTCTAACATAACTTTATTCATTTATTTCCATCGTCCATTTGCTTATTTTAAAATAATGATTCTGTTTATTTAAACGAACAAAATTGATTTTGTGTCTAAATTACTGTCTAGTCATGTATAGCTTTTAGTTTTAGTAGAGGTTTTACGGCGCTCGCAACTGCATAAGGTCATATGAGCGCCAGAAGATTAGAGGTGTTACAAGAGAGTAACAAACATAAAAAAGAAGAAGGGAAGATAAGGACGATAGATATTTGATAGGAAAGAAGGAGCAAACCACACCAGAGCACCCGCCAACCGCCCGCATAGTATAGCTTGCTGTTTAACTTATTTCTTGTTGTAATTTTCGATCAATTTAACTGATGTGTCGCGACTTCAGTGCTTTCTTGTCGTAACTTCATTTTTGTAAACAGTGAAAACGTGACTCCTTCTTACGCTACGCTCACTCTTTGTTATGAACTCGCGTCAATAGTTGTGAACACATTTCTTCTAGCACCCAACATAATTCTAAATTGGAGGAATTGGGGCAGTTTGTGTCTAAAAACCTATCATCCGTATCAATGGAAGTGGCATGAAGTGGTAAAGTAGTGGGAATTTTTTTCTAAGACAAACAGATGAGAGAGGTATTTGCAAATCTGCAGCGACAAATTATTAGTAGTAATAGACCGGCAGCTCGACGCCGGAGAATAGCTTCTAATCTATTGACTGGCGCGACGCCGGAGAATAGCCACTTGCTTTGGCTTTGGTCAATAGGGTCTAGATCTAAGTATGGCTAGACCGGCAGGCTAGCCGTACTTAAAGGCGGCTAGACAGTCAGGCTAGCCACTTCGAAATAATATAGTCTCATAGAGTGACAGTACGTGTAAGACTAGTTGACTAAAAAGTGTGCCTGCATCGACAACGAACAAAAATCACAATAATAATTTGTGTTTAAAGACAAATATCATTCTTTTTTTTGCTTACTGTGTGGAAAATTTGCGCCTAATCACTTGCTGAGTTTGGTGTACATAGCAAAGTGGGAACAGTACAATCGTGGTACCGCTACAACACAGACAATATGGCTTACTCATTTGAAGACTTTTAGTTGGTCGACGGCAGTTTTACGCGGTTTCTTCTACCGGGCATTAGAAGGATACCATCTCCTCCACCAATTCATGGTTTACCCACAGAGATTTCATTCCAATACATTCATGAATAAATCTCAGAATATTTGACTACATGTTGAAGAAGGTAGAATATTTGGTGCTGTTTCGGTAGTTCCCACTCCCCTTATTTGAGCCTGACCTACATCTAGATCTAGAATCTCGATCTATACGTTTGATTCGCAGCAAGCTAAGATATCAAACCTAACAACTGCAAAACATTAAATTGTGGTAAAATTCAGGGGGCCATGTAACCCCCCACCTTATTTATATTAGGTCAGGGGGCCAAGCCCCCCTACTCTTGGGGCCCAAACCCGTGAATAACAATTGCGGGGTGGGAACTACCGAAAAAGCGCCGAATATTCTACCTCTAGAGCATGGCACGAATTACAACTAGCCCAGTTGCTACAGTGACCACACGGGAAGCAAATCCGATCCTTGACTCTTACTCTTTTTGCCTTAATAGGCCTACTTCCTGTTTATCCTGTCTCCTTGTTCCGGATGATTGTCTCAAAAGTTCTCTTTGCCTACAAACTTCATACACCCATAGGCCAGATCTATCCGTAATTTTTATTAGAATTTCGTCTCTTGATCCCTGCATCTAATAGTCTAATATATATTTAACTATGTTGTGGCTGGCCATACAATAAATGACTCTTTTCTAAAATAATAGATCGAGGCCCCTAGATCTAGAGTCTAGATTCTAGATATCTAAATCTAGATCTGATCTAGATTTGATATTTGGCAGGATTTTCGGCGCTTTTTCGGTAGTTCCCACCCCGCAATTGTTATTCACGGATTTTGGCCCCAAGAGTAGGGGGGTTTCAGGGGGGCTTGCCCCCCTGACTGACCTAACAAAAATAGGAAGGGGGGTTTCAGGGGGGCATGCCCCCCTGAATTTTACCACAATTTAATGTTTTGCTGTTGTTAGGTTTGATATCTTAGCTCACAGCGAATCAAACGTATAGATCTAGATCTAGAAGTAGGTCAGGCTCAAATAAGGGGGGTGGGAACTACAACTACCGAAAAAGCACCGGATTTTCCTTTTATTAATATTCCGTTAATTTAATTCTTCCCAAAAGGCTAAAAAAGAAGTTCCAGTCAGCAGTGAGAATGGCTGAGGCTATTTGAATTGAAGGTATGTCTAGATCTAGCCCATCCATGATCTGTGAAAATGAAGAATGGAATGATTCATCTATCTTGCTTGTCTGATCTCATAACATTCGAACAATGGCAAAAAGGCCCAGGCTTACTTGCTTGATCTAGCCTTACCGACAATGACAAAGGTTTCATGTAGATCTTCCTGCTATGGAGAAAAAACACAGCACCCACAAAACTTTCAAATATCCTATCGGTAAAAGAAACAGGAAGAGGGGAGACTAGAATCATACAGATAACGATACAGTAACAAAACACAGACCCCTTCCCCTTAGCCCTTACATCAAAGAGGAAAGGCGTGGGCCTGGTAGATCTAACAGCAGAGGAAGGAATGGCTTGGGTTGGGCTTGGTGACAGTCATCACCGTGGGGATGTTATTTAACAATTCAGAAAATAATAGGAAGCCCAAAATCTTTCACACTCCCACTAACAAAAAAGGATGTAACTGAATTAATTAAAAAAATACTTACCAATAAGTATATTTGTCTTTGATGGTAAAGTAAAAGAAAATTCAAGACGCTTGTCGACACTGGGTCAACAACCAAATTCAGTCATCCAGTTGCACCCGCATGAAATAGAGTGACGCATTGTGGGAAAATTCATAGCATTAGGGTTCTACGTAATCTCCAAAGAAATGTGTTAGCTTTTTAAAAAAATAGTTGTTTTTGAAAAAATGCTAGAAGTCTTGAGCTATAGTATTACTATTTTTAAAAGAACATTTGTAAATGCTTATTTCATCAAAAAATACATATCATTTAAGAAAAGAGAAAATAGAAATGACGGAGGTATTTATTTTTAGCAATGACGCATTGGCCAGAGCTTTTCCTGTTTGACCTAATTTCCTTTGTTGAGGAGTCTAGCAAACTGGGCTACCAGTTGAGGTCATCAACACCGATTTCCGTGCAACGTATTCTCAACTCCAGTCCCTTCACCCCCCCCCCCCCCCCTCTCTCTCTCTCTCTCTCTCTCTCTCTCTCTCTCTCTCGTGTCCATTTTTTCTCTCTCCTATCTATCTATCTATCTATCTATCTATCTATCTATCTGCAGTAGACATCAAGATATTATAATAGGCTAATAATGTGGACTCCTCGGCATTACTGAAAATGCTGTGTTTCTGTCCGCCCCAAGAACGCTTTCTGTGGAGGCTACTTTATGGTCATGATAAAGAAACTTATGCAAACCATAGAAAGAATGTTTGAGGGATAACAAACAAGAACGTTTTTCTTCTTTAGCGCATCAATTCTGGTCATTCGACAACGCTTAATGGAGCTCTGTTTTGGGGGACTTTAAATATAAAAAAAGGAAGCCTTCACTATTCGTACAGGTTTCAAAAGCCAGGTAGGGACCTAATTATGTAGGTCTATACTCTGAAATGTGCAATTGGTCTTCTGCAGATCGACCGTAGACTATGTGCCCGCTATGTCATTATAACAGAGTTAATGACTAGACGCATTCATTATCAAGAGAAGATTCCATTTATAACTTATAAGAAAGAAAAAGAAAGGCTAAGCCTACTGATATGTATTCTATGGACGATTCTTTTGCTATAGTGCTGTCAAAAATTCGGGGCGCAACTTATTTGTCAATAAATATCTCCACACTTATCTAACATAAACTGTCCGGCTTTTGCACAGCGACTTATATTAGCTAACAGATCAATTTTTGTGTGTAAATACCTGTTAGCTACATTCTAACAAATTCCTTAATAAATACTAATTTTTAAAATCCCAGTGGATGTTTTTTTACAGATTTTAAAGGGTAGCTGGGACAATAATTATCGCTTTTAGAAAGCAAGTCCGTCGTTTTTTTTTGTATTGTTTTTTTCTAGTCGCGAGATTGTCATTATAGAACGCTTGTTTTGAGAAATTTCAGTGCAAAAAAGTGTTCACTATAAAATTAGTTTCCTGAAACTAGTTTTGCCACTAAAAAGTGTCATTGGTGAGCTGTGACGTAGGCTATATTCCATTTTCCGCGTGAAGGAGATTTGTAGTATTTTATACACATTTATGAAGAAAAGTTTTTAAATTTAACTTCAATTGTTGTGGGAAAATATGATTAAGTTATGACAAATTGATACAAACTGCGATGCAAAGTATCATTGAGTAAAAAGTG